TGTGTGTGTGTGTGTGTGTGTGTGTGTGTGTGTGTGTGTTAACTGGCTATTCCTTTTGCTTTCCACATAACATTAAACAATACAATTCTTAGAAGAAACAGTACATTAGTCCTCAGGGACAGCAAGAAAGGGACTCAGTGTGTTTTTTTTGTTTTTGCAGTAGTTAAGGGATCGAAATGAGGACCTTGTGATTGTCAGGCAGGTGCAGCACCACTGAGCTACACCCCAGCCCCACCTCAGCTACTCTTAGAAACTCTGAACTAGTGCTACATTGTTGGTGGCCAGGAAGCCAGGGCACAAAGCCCTCACACGCAGAGCAACGGCACCTTCTGCTCCAACACTAGCTTGAAACGCTTTGCAAAGTGACTTATTTAACTCTTGCCTAGGCAAGGCAAGTTCTATTGATTCAATTTTACAAATGAGAAGAATGAAACTGAGAGAAGGGTAGATCATAATTTGCCCCCAAATCAGGCCTGGCATTGAAACCCCAGTCTTCTGATTTCTACTGCATCAGACAGAAAAGGAGAGACATTAATTGGCAGAAGCGTCCATCCTTTGTTATCTTTTCTAGTGAAGATGCCACGGTTCCTCTCCAAAGAATCAAACGTGGGTACTTTGTTTTTTGTTGTTGTTTGGTTTTTTTTTTTTTTTTTTTTTTGTTTGTTTTTTTTTTTTTTTTTTTTTTTGGTACCGGGGATTGAACTCGGGTCTTGCGCTTGCAAGGCTGGCCACCGAACCGCTGAGCTAAATCCCCGGCCCTGTTGTTGTTGTTTTTTGAGACAGGGTCTCACTACATAATTGAGACTGCCCTGGAACTCACTATGCAGCCCAGGCTGGTCTCGAACTCATGGCCATCCTCCTGCCTCAGCCTTCTGAGCCCTGGGATTATAGGGGTGTGCCACCACGCCTGGCACAAACATGCTTACTTTGGAGGATGGAACAAACCCATACTCCCTCCACCTTTCTGTAACACCAAGGGTGCTCTTAACAAAGGCATCAGAATCTGTGGCACTCACCATGGGCAGCCAGCACAGTGCCTCCAGAACCAAGGCTAACCACACAGAAGGGAACACAAGAGGCAACGTAAATGAAAAGGAGTGCAGAGAGGTGAGCAACCAAGACTCAGGGGAAGGCATTCAGATTCAACAATTAAAAGATCCTGAGCAAAAATTACTTATCTTTTTTCACTAGGCTAAACGTTATGATCAAGATTTGAACTCCATCTCCCTACAGTCACTATTTTTAGCATTACTATCAATGGGAGTATTATCCCTAGGGCTGTTCAAGTTCAACTTTATGAGGAATTTATTAGATCATCCAAGCTACAGAAGCAGGAGGTCATTCCCTGGGCGAAAACAAACACACTTCAAAGGAACTAACAACTAAGCACCACCCCGAAGCACTTAAGCAGTAAATTATCTGGTGACAAGCAAATGTAAACAAACTGTTCCTGAGAAGGTCACTGAGAGTGTGGGCTCAGGACAGGACAGGGACTGGGGACTGGTACCGACCTTGTGATTTCCCTTCCAGGATCAGGAATAAAATCACTGATAATAAACACAAAGCTGCTCCACGTGGGCTGTAGTAAGTGCTCAGCATGCCAGCTAAGAAGTGCTTCAAACAGCCTGTGGGATTGGTGACCCACAGGCCTGTGGACAGTGTTTGTCCCGACACACCACTGGGTAGCAGAAACAGAACTGGCAGCTAGAGGGTCACAGTGCTTTCTAAGCCTTGAAGGGCAGAGACTGAGGGCTGGGAATTTGCTTCTGAAGGTCAACCCAGAGTAGCAATAGTCTGGAGCTCTCTAGGCTCAGGTCCTAACTGTCTATACACTCTCATCCAAGAATCGCAGTCCCTGAAGACTGCAATTTTAAACTGTAGGTATTTATTACTGCTTTTGGAAAGGAATGACTGTTATTTCCTGTGTTCCTGTGTGGTGAGGAGATGACTGTGAAGGATGTTTTGAAATGGGGACAAGATTCTTTATCTACATACAGAGTGCTGTTGGAATTTGTTCTTAATTTCTGCAGTGCTTGGTTTTCTCATCAACATCCTGCACGGAGCAAGGTGTTAAAGATAGGTGGCAGAGGCTAACAGAGGTATAATAAACGCTTGGGCAGAGAAATCTCTATGGTTATTACTTCCTCTGCTTTGCTGGGAATGGAACCCAAGGCCTCACACAGGCTAGGCAAGCACTTTATGACTGAGCTACATCACCAGACTCTTTGATCATCACTTAAAAATCCTTTTATTCTGTACTTTTGCCATGGATTTAAGTAGCTAAAGTCAACCTTCTCCTAAGAAACCAACAAGTCAGTAGCTCTCCTCACAGGAAAAAAGTTTCCATTCCTTTTTCTTTTTTTTTCTTTTTATTGAGGTTATTGGTACAATCTAGGTATACCATACAGTTACATCATCATTGGGATTCTGTACCTTTACACAATAGGTCTTGATTCTCATTTTTTCCCCTTGCTTTTTTTTTTCTTTTTATTGAAAGTTTCCATTCCTGTGAGGGAGTATGTGGGAAAGGACCCACCACACCTTGTGGAGGCCAGCCACCGGATACAGACACAGCCAGAAACCTACTCTCGCTGTAGGCAGCTCACCCAGCACAGAGGTGGGCATGGAAAGGAGGCCGCCCAGGAATGTGTCTGTGTCATCAGACCTAGAGGACAGTGACTTTCTCTGACAGGATTTTACCAACAGCTTTAGAAAATGCACTAAACTCTCGCCTTCAAAAGAAGGAAAAGAAAGAAGGCCTGTGATGCTCAAATTTCTACCTCTGTCCCTCTGCAACCAGGACAGCTCTCCCCCACATACCCAGAGCATGCTAGGAACAGGCCCTCAGCAGTCTCAGTGAAAAGGACTGAGAAGTTACTAGTGAAAAGCATATTATCCTTTCTTTGAAGCCGCAGTGACACAGATCTTTCTCTTTTTCCAAAGTTCAGACCGCTCAGCATGATCATGCCTAAACTGCCCAACTGTTTTTCAGAAAGATTCTTCTGAGAAACACAGAAATCCCTACGAATTAACTTTCCAGAATGACCAGGATAGCTGAGAGGTGGTCCTTTCGGCTTAGTACACCTGGATTTTAGCTTTCGGATACCATAGATTTTAACTGCCTTCTTTACTATAAAGACAGAAAAAAATCAGCATCAAAGAGCCCCAAATTAATGTGTTTTATTTTTACCTAGTACCTAGATGTACACATTCTATAACAGCAGCCACAGGAAGACTACAAGCCTTAAAGCAGGGTAGCAGTCATACTTTGGGGAGCATGGCAAAGAAATTCAATGTAAAAGAAGGAAATCTAGGCTCTTATCTCCTAAATTAAAATCTAACTATGTCACACCTCTGCTGAAAAACAAAACCAAACGAAAACAAGCATTCAAAGCTCTCCAATGCTTTCAGGACAAAGTTCAAGCTCCAGGAACCAAGTACCAGGAGGCCAGTTCCAATCTGGCGCCTGCATACTCTCTGGCCTCATCTCTTTCCACTCAGCCTTGCCAACCTCATCTCTCCAGCCAGAAAGAAATACATGCCAGGCATAGTGCCACACACCTCTAATCCGGCACCTAGGAGACTGAGGCAGGGTATCACCACAAGTTCGAAGCCAGCCTGTACTACACAGCAAGACCCTGTCTCAAAAAAATAAAAACAACAACAACAGAAGACAGACAGACACGTAGCTCCCCCAAGGCTGCACACTTCCCTCACAGCCTTATCGGGGCGCGCACCAGCCCCATGCCCCCGCACTGGTTCCAGACTTAACACAGCTCATTGAATTGGTCTTTCAAATGGGATCGAACCCAGGGCCTTGAGCAGGCTGAGCAAGTGTTCTATCACTGAGCCACCTCCTCAGCTGTCCTACCTACCTACCTATTTATCTATCCTTTAAGTACTGGGTAATGAACTGAAGGCCTTTACACCAAGCTACATCTTCAGGCATTTTTACTTTTTACTCTGAGACAAAGGTGTCACTAAACTGCCCAGGCAGTACCAGAAATGGCAATCCTCCTACCTCAGCCCTCAAAGTGCTCGGATTACAGGGATATGCAACCACACCCAGCTTATTTTTATTTAGAGACAGGCTCTGGCTAAACTGCCCAGGCTAGCTTTAAACTCACTATCCTGCCTCAGCCTCCCAACATCTGGG